ATTTCAATAAATCTAATTTTTTATTTTAATAAGATTGATATGTATTGATATGTGTGCATCGATCCCAATAAAAAATCCGCAATTAGTGATGATCATTAGTGACCCTACCTATAGGCCGTTGTACACCCTAACGCACAGCCCTTTTATTTGCTCACGTGTGACGATCTGCAAATCGGGCGTTACTTTTGTTGGCTACTGTACATACAATACAGCACAAATTTTGAAAGCCCGATGCGTCATTGATCAGAAGGGCTGATAATCAATAACGATAATATACTTTCCCTCGGCGGCACTCATATTATTTCGAATAACTCAATTAATGTAATATTTATTATTACGGTTTTTTGAATATTCCATTGCCTTTAAATCATCCAATTTATGCAATGATATAAAGTTTTATTAATACTATAGAGCCATTTGTTACTATTTGTTTTCTTCGATGATTTTTTGTTGCTACGTCTTGGATTCAATAAATAATCAGTTATAATCTTCCGGAAGCACATTAAAAATTAAATCTACAAGATTTTCTGATTCAATTGCATTTTCGATTTTCATTCTTTTTTCGTTTATTATTAATGGACATTTGGTTTACGGCAATCAACACATATTTTTTCGAATAGTATTTATTGGATTTTATGCTTTTAACGATCGCTTTTCACTTTAAAGAATCAAGAGAAGAATTCATTTACGGAAAAAAATTCATTTACTAATAAATGATTTTCGAACCTTTTTTTGAGTAGCGATTTTACCCCGGTCTATTTTTTACTGTCCCTGATACTGGGGTAGTTCTAAATCTAGAAGCATATGAAACTTGTTAAATCGTTACACAGCATGTGAGATTCACGCCATTTCCTAACAAGTGAAGGCATTAATACACAAGATGTACGTACGTGCATTATAATCTTTTCAAGTTAAAATTTTTCTTCAAAGAGCTGTTCATACAAGATATAAAATGATACAGCTTTTTGCGATAGCACGTCATGTCTACCTAATCGATCCGGAAACGGGTACATATAAAGAATATAATACTGAGGATTGGTCTTCAACAATCTCTGGTGCACTTATTCCCTCAACTCACAAAATTTACGTTACCACTACATTCAACAATCTTTGGGAAATTTCTTTAGCAGACAATAATGTTCGAAAAATAAGTTGGGATAGTTGGGGAGGTTGTAATACCTTAGTTACAGTTCCAGATGATCCAAGCGAATGTAGTTTCAAATTATTCGCATTTTGCCATAAGCTTTGGTTAGTTGATGATCCTAATACTGGTCATTGTACAGATTTTTTGGGTGGATATACTGATATTTGGGCTAAAGTTAATGCTGCAACTGCTGTAGGACAAAAGATTTATGCTACAACAGTAGCTAATAATTTGTGGTGTGTTGATACAATTACTAAGGAAACAAAGAAATTGGGCGGTGGGTCAGATAATTGGTCGAATTGCAGAGCTTTGGCCAATGTTGGAGGTAAATTATTAGCATTCTGTTATGGATTATGGGAAGTTAATACAAATAATGGTGATTATACACCATTTTTCGACAAGGATTCGGAGGAGGCCAAAAGATCTTGGTCAGGAGTAAAAGCGGTTACTGTTATTGATACCTGTGTTTATGTTGTAGCGGGTGATCAATTACTGGCATTGGACACGGTTAGTAAAAAGGTCCGAGAGGTAAGTAAGGATAATTGGGGTTCCACGAAAGTTTTGATTTCTGTAGTATTACCTGATGACTAAAGATAAAAAAGTTTAGTAGTTATATTTTCTTATATCAATTCTTAGAAAAATTAAAATATTTTTATTTATGGAGTTTTAATAAAAAGGATTCATTCGTATTCAAATGTGAATTACATATACTATTAGTACTACAGTCATTTCTCTCTAATACTCTAATTCGAATCTAGACAAACCGAACTGAGCTTTAAAAGTTTAACTTTCTTATAAGGTTCAGTACACTAAATGCATTTTTAATTAATAAGTTTCGAGGATTTGTCGACTGTAATTATTAATAATCGAATTTATAGATTACATATTTAAGTTTAGAATGGGTTTAAACTTAGTAGTATTTAATGAATCATTGATTTATGTTGAATCAGACGTCCAATCCAAAGATGCTTAGTAGTTGCCATGATCAAAGACGCGGTCACGTAACCCTGATATATTTGTCTATAATTTTTAGGTCTATTAATAAAAATTTTTAAATCCGTTATACCCCTTATCGGTTATATACATGTCCGTTATATCCATAGTTGACCGTATTATTATAGCTTCCTCTTCTATATCGAACTTTATATATCGAATTCTAGCTATTATAAACTAAAATATTTATATTTATATAATATAACATTATTATATATAGATAGATAAAAGGTTATAGCTGGATGTAAATCACTAAAAAAAGAAACTAGCTTTGATACCAGTATTCTAATCGTAAACATTTGGTATTGTGTGAAAATTTTCCTATTACAGTCAGACCTCTCTAAATGCAATTTGACGGGACCATATGTAAAAATTTAGCAAAATGTGCATTTAGAGAGGTATTGCATTTAGGGAGGTAAAAATCTATAGGTGTAATATAAGTTGGGCCCAAGAGAAGACGTGCATTTAGGGGGGTAGCATTTAGGGGGGTAGCATTTAGGGGGGTAGCATTTAGGGGGTAGCATTTAGGGGGGTCTGACTGTACTGTATTTAAATTTAAGTTTATTTCAAATCATTGGAAATTAACAACTTAACTTATTATTAACAGATGCAACCCACCTGAACCGATTATATTAAAACCGATAACTCCTATGTTCGGTAAAAGATCGATCCACGTATTCATCAGGTTAGGCCGGCATTTAACAATGCTATACTGGTCATTTGCTAGGAAAATCACTATTTGAAAGCAAGTACCAAATGTAGGATGTTTGGCATAGTGACAAAGGCATGCCAAAAACCAATTTGGCATGCCACTGGGTACAGTATAAAAAGTATATTTATATACGGTATTATAAATAATATATATATAACATTTTATGGCATGACTTTTGGCATACCATGGCACAAATTTAATAAAAGGCCAAATTTTTTTCAGCATGTCAGACATCCTAACCAAATGGTGATTTTCCTAGCAAATGACCCGTATAGTTATTGAATATGGGAACATGCAATAACGGTTTCATTCAATGATTTACTATTTCAGTTTATGAAATAAGATCAATAATTTTATTATGTAAAAAAGTATCATAAAATAATTGATTTATTTTATAGACTGATCATAGTGAAGCATTGAATAAAAATCACCATTTCTGGACCAAAATTATCAGCTGAGCAACTTTACTTAATGAATGGGCTATGACTTCATTAGTAAAATTTTCAATGAAATTAGTTCTGACCTTTCTATGTGAGTTTTAATTTTTCGAATATGTTATATGTATAAAATTATAATGCTTATTTATTCGAGATGAAATTTGAATGTAACAGTAAACATTTAATATCAATATTAAATAAACTAAATAAACTAAACAACTAAATAAATTTTTTAAATCAAAAACCGGATTATAAGTATACAACCCGATGTAAACTTTTTAAAAAAGATAAATAACTGATTTTTTTTTTAAAAAAAAAAACCGAATATCCTGATAGATAATTTGCAATCTGGTTTCAACCTCTAAATTTGAGTATTGTTTTTTTTTTTAAAAAAAAAAGGTTATAAAATTTAATTGCTAAAATAAAATACTAGCAGAATTACTGCATATAAAAAATTTAAAATAACACAATACAATATTTTTAATTTAAATGTTTAAAAAATAAAAAATAAAAATAATTTGAAAAATAAATATATAATTTTAATTGTATATAGTATTTTATATAGCATTTAGAAAAATATTAGAAAAATCTGTTATAGATAATATATCATAATTATATATATATTAATAAAATTTTATGTTATTAGAGAGATTAATCTAGATACCAATATAAAATAAGTAACTAATTTGATTGATTATAAATAAATGCGATAAGTTTAACATTATACTTACCAATAGGAACGTCAATGGAATCGATAGGTATACTTGATAAAGTCGTTGATATCCTTTGTGTATTGATAATTTTGCTAGTATACATAGAATCAGAATGATTTGATGAGATAACTGATGATTTTTTGACCATTTTATCAGCTTCCAAAAATTGCTTGTTAATTTCATTAGTATCATCTGAATTTGCTATTTGTATAAGCCATCCATTAAGTCGATAATAAACAGTCTGGGCAGTAGGCCGTTTATTTGGATCAGAATCCATGCATTGTTTAGCTAATGCAATATAGCAAGCTGGAGTTCCAGGAGCAAATTCAGGCCGTAATCCAAAGCAAATCTTTACTGCAAGCTCGTCATTAAATTGGTGACCGTCAAAAGGTCTTCGACCAGTTGACACCTCTGCCATGATGGCTCCAAGGCCATAAATATCAGCTGCACTTGTAAACTTTTGACCTGATAAAACTTCTGGAGCAACATAAGGCATGACACCATAGATGCAATTTTCTGACTTCTTTTCATCGTTCTTTTTAGACAAACCTAGATCTGCGATGTAAGATTGCATATTGTTGCCAATATCCCCATCTTGCAGGATATTGCCACAGTAAAAGTCTGCATGAATATATCCTGCGTCATGAATATGAATTAAATCCCATGAAATATCTGCAAGTATCTTTAATTTAACCTGCCAAGTAAGATCTTGAAAATTTTTTCTTAAGAACTTGTTAAGACTTCCATGATTGGCATATTGAAATACTATCATGTAATCATTTGTTTCTGTGTTCTGAGTCAATCCATATATTTTAAGCTTACTACCATGCTGAGTACATTCCATGAAATTTTCAAACTTATAAATTTGCATAAATGAATTAGTTCAGTATGCGTTTAATAAACTGTACAATGAATAATGATTAACTTACTTCTTTTAAAAAATCACCAAGATTTTCTTTGGAAC